CGGGAGCGGGGGGGGTCGAGCACCGCCGTGCTTGCAGCCCGCGGGATGGATACGCGCGGGGGGCTCGCAGCATGGCGGAGGAGCGCGACCGCCCCGAAAATAACGGGGGGGACCCGTAGGAAACCCCACACCTCTACCGGAGCGGGCAGGTCGGTGCAAATCCGCCCCCCGCCAAGCACGGCAGGACCGCTTTTCTCTCCCCAAAAGCCGTACGGCCTCCCAGGAAAAAGCATCCATCGAGCCTAGCGGGGGCATCTCCCCTGCAGCCCCCCACTGCCTCGCGTCGGGGTCCGGACGCCCCCCGGCTTGCGCACCCACTGGCCCAAGGGAGCCCCTTCTCGGGTGGAGTAGGGCAGAGAGATGGGACCCGCTGCTAGGAAAGCAGGGGGGACCTGATCCTAGCAGGGCAGCTTTCCTTGAAAAATCACTAAAAATTGGTAACGACACAGAGTCTTCGAAAATGATGTTTTAAAGCCTGGTGAAATTAAACAAACTAATCCCTTCTCTCGACTTGCCAGGCGAAGGTTGTAACAGGAGACTGCAACAGATCACCGCGACTCTAAGGAACAGCAAAAGCAGTTCTCCGACAGCTGGTCCTCTACTCTGCAGTGTCAGGCAACATAGGGGAATGAAAAAACTGTACTTTTATTTGGAGCTGCTTTATAGTCTTGAGCCTTCTTCTAACATCATGCGTGTAAGGTCTCTCTCATTAGCAGTAAGCCTACCTTTCACCCATCAATATGAGATCAGAAAAGTTACTCATTTTTTAAACAAAATCAGCCTTCCCCCTCTCCACAGGAACGGTATTAGAAAGAACCAGCTTGGGGGCAAACAGAACGTGGCACCCAACGTTTGTTTTTGGAAGATGTACCATAAAAAGAGAGGACCAGATCCTGGCAAGGATTATCAGTTCCGGTGGGCTCATACGGAATGCAACACAAGCACGGCACACATTTTGGCAGTATCAAAAAGGCACAACTATTTTCTGTGAGATTTCTGCTGGAAAATGTTACATTTCAGCCTTAGTTCAGTTCGCAGACCTCACCAGATGTGCTCAGCTTCCGAAGCCAGCTATGCTTCTTCCCAGTCAGTACGCTGGAAACTGTGTACAGCGTGGTGTTCAGGTGAGACCTGTAGCAACCACAGGGAGGGGGTGCTGATGCCAACAGCTCCCAACAAGAGCAGAGCAGGCATTAGGACTACCAGGCAGGCAAGCAAGCAGGCACGAAATGATCGTGCTAGTATGGAGGAGTGGCAGGAAAAACACACCGGACTCGCAGCATTGGGCCCTTCATCTGAACCAAGAGAAGCCGTGTGTGCTCAGGATTATGGCTGGGTGCAGTTAGGGGGTCTTGGTGGTCACAGGGATCTGTCACAGCGAAGAGGATGTGTTACAAGTTTCCTGGGTTGCAGCTAGCTGTGGAGCTGGTACAGGCAGGGGAAGGAGACAGGGCAAGGTTTATAAAACAAAACAACAGAGGTACACATTAAGGTACACATGAGCGAAGATTAAACTTGCTAATGAGGGAAAGGAAACCATGGGTACTGTTGAAATTAAACAACAGAGGTAAAGCACAAGAGAAATAATGTTCACTAAGAAAAAGCTAAAGGAACTTCTTTTTTTCAGCCTTTGGGGTAAACGTGTGGGTGGAGACAGGAGTGATTTTTGGAAATCTAACCTGCAGTCTGCTTCCAGAAGCCAGGAGCTGAGTGCGAGTCCACCTTGCACTTCAATGCTGTCAGCTGTGCTTGTGCAGGGCGCCAGCAGCCGCTCTTGACTGCCCGTGACTGATGCAGACAGCAGAGCTTCCTTCTACTTTTTGACACGTGTTCCTGGATAAATATTCTTTCTCACCAGAGGTTCTTTCCAGCTTGCCTGCCTTTTATTTTTCAATCTTCAATTTATTGGTTTTTTATCACATTGCTCTTCTCACTCACTCTTTCTTACCTGGTATTTTCTCACCTCCCTTCCCTTCCCCATTCCCATTCCAGAGCCTGACATTGATGCAAGAACAACACTGACTTTGTGAGGAGCACTGCAATATTCAGCTGACTCAAACCTGCCACCTCTCTTTTCCTCCACATCTTCTCTTCATCTTTATAGAAATCTTTCGGATTCTCCTGACGTCTATCATTTTAAATTAGCTTTTTCCCTTTTAAGTGTTCCCTAATTATTTTCCACAACAGTTCATTTTCCATTTTGTTCTCTCTGGTTCTTACCAAGGCAGTTGAATTTTCATCTTCTTTTTACATGTAAATCTTCAGTTTTAATAATATTTGAGTACTTACATTTCTATTGATTAAAAACTCCATTGATTATTAAAATGGGGGGGGGGGGAATC